TAGGGGGTCTAACATGTCCTCCACAGCGTCCACCAGCTCTCTTTTAATAATCTTTTCAAAGACCTTCATAACCAGTGAGGTCAGGGCTATAGGTCTGTAATCACTGATGGACTTTGGGGATTTAACTTTGGCCACAGGCACAACTATCGACCTTTTCCACAAACCTCCGGAAATATCAGGAAAAGTACCTATTATAGGGCAGGATGTTCTTTTATTGGAGTGCTATTACTGGTGTATTAAGAGTACTAATAAATACTGTACAGTCAGTTAGTTTTATCTGAAACTGTACGTCAACTTTACAGAGGAACATTTTACATATAAAACTTAAAGAAGCACCAGGTGAAAATAATAAAGTCAAGTAAAATACCTTCAAGTATTCTCAAGTAGAGAACTAGAGTAAATGTACTGAGTTAGTGTCCTCGTTCTGCTGCTGTGAGATATTTGTGGTAAACTGAGAGACTCTCAGTGACGCTCTCAACTGGAAAAGCTGCTGAATCAGCTCAACCAGTAACTCACACACTAACACGAGACTGTGGAGCCCCGAGACTGTAGAAACAGATGAGAGTCCCCACAACATGAATACACCTCTCCCTTTCTCACACACACAGTTATGACAAAAGCCCTGAACTCCTGAGCTCCGTCCTGTTCTCTCTCTAAAACCAGACTCCATTCACTTTTCTATCATTTTAAGTTTCTTCCTGGTTTTCCTGTTGAACATAATGACGCAGCCAGGTGACTCACCTGTCAGCTGTCAGCGGGTAACGCAATTTTAATTCAGCATGGACTCCAGCGAGCAGCTTCTCGTTCCAATAAAATCTGAATCAGATCAGGACTGAACGAACCTGCCTGACTGCTCGGATTCTGATTGTTCACAGAAAGGCACCAGAGCAGGTAAGGAGGGGCGGGGCTCTTTTGTTCCTCTGTTTGTTGTTACTGAAGCAGAAGGATGAAATACACCCACCCAGGTAACCACACCTATGTACGTGTGTGTTTGTGTGTGTTCAGGTCACACTAAAGGAGATCAGGTGTGGGACATCCTCCTCAGATAAGGGGGTTAGGTTTCCACTGTGGTGCCTTCAGGGTCTGACTGGAAAAATCATATTCTGAGCAGGGTTCTGTGTTCTCTGAGCTCTTACAGGTGTTCTTACCTGTCCAGGTGATGGTTGTTTAGCAGTTTCTAGAGGAGGTACCAGAGTTAGAGAGATTCCAGGAGTGCTTGAAAAGGTTCCAGGAGAGGGGTGCCTGAGTGTGACTCAGTGCTCCTTAAAGGGTAAGTTATGCATTTTTTAACCTGGACCCATACTCCCATGTTTAGTGATTTAGTGACAAACAATTTTTTAAACTATTCCAGTATTGAGAGACAGCGCTGCAGCTGGCAGCAGCGAGGCAAGCTGTGACCCCTCAGGGCATTTGTGCACCGTTAATTTACATCCACTTAAAGTGTGTGCTCAGATTAATATTCCAAGTGTCCGACAACATTATGGAAAAGACCCTACAGAGACAGATCTTTTCGTTAAAGAATAAGGTCCTTTTTGTTTAACTAGAAACATCCCTGTAACTGCCATCGCCAATTCTACCAGACTCCATTTCAATAAACCATAATTTTAGCGTGTACAGAGCCACCATATTTTCACATTTAACTGGGTCAATTTTGGGTTAATTTCAACCGTGCAAGAATGGGTGATTGTTCAAACAGTGGAAAGACAAACCAAGATGACTTTTGTGAGTTTAATTTGTTTCTGTCAACTTTGAAATTAAGTGTGTTTTACGTTGATAAAATTACTGTTTTTTTAAATGGAGTCTGGTGGGTTTGGTGATAGCAATCTCAGGGCTGTTTCTGGTTAAACAAAAAGGATCTTACTCTTTAACAAACAGATCTATCTCTATCTCTATCCCTGTAACTGATTAATAATCTGAGCCTGTCAGTGGCAAAAAACAGGCACTTTTGGTGGATGTGAATTGATGGTGCGAACGCGCCCTGAGTGTTTACAATCCTGTTTTGAGGCTGCAGACCTCTCACTCACTACTGGACCAGTTTCAAAATGTTTGTTCCCGATAGTCACGTAGACACAAAAACATAGTAAAATACATAACTTTCCCTTTAAGGAGATCCGAGGGAGGTTTGTAGGAGGTTCCAAGAGTTCCAGAGGTACCTGAAGAGGCATCACAGTCCAGATTCTTCCATGGGGCTCAGGGGTTCTTCAGGAGGTTTCAGCGTGCTAGACAAAAGTCCACACTTCCTGAGGAGGGTCAAGAGGGGCTTGAGGTGGTTTAAAAGTTCTTGAAAAATATTCCAGGGTTCTGGAAGAGCTTATTTATCAGTTGTTTAGGGGGTTACAGGTGTTGTTCCCTGTCCAGGTGACAGTACTTTAGCAGGTTCCAGAGGAGGACCCAGGGTTCTTGAAGGTTTTCAAAAATACCAGACAAGATTACAAGATCGGTTGAAATGACTCCAGAGGAGGCTCCAGGGTTCAGGACAGGGGTTCAGCGGTTCTGTAGGAGCTTACTGGAATTCTTAATGGGCTCAGCCCTCCTTAAAGAGATCATATGGGTCCTTGAAAAGGTTCTGTAGTACTTTAGGAGATTTCAGACTTACTCCAAAAGGTTCCAAGAGAGGGGCAGGTAGTTCAAGAAGTGCTGGTTCCACAGTTGTTGAGAAAAGTCCAGATTCTTGTGGGACTCAGGAGTTCTTTATGAGGTTCCAGTTTGCAAGACAAGAGTCCAGGGTTCTTGAGGAGGGTCCAGGGGGGTCCTTGAGATAATTTAAAATTTCTTGAAAAAGGTTTCGGAGTGCTATAAGAGTAAGTTTATCAATTGTTTAGTAGGTTACAGGCATTCGTACCTGTCCAGGTGACGGTTCTTTAGCAGGTTCCAGAGGAGGACCCAGGGTTCTTGAGGGGTTTTCAAAGAGTACCAGGGGAGATCCCAGGGTTAATGAGAAGGGTTCAGAGGTTCTTTTGGAGGTTCCAGGACTTCTTGATAAGGTTTAATGTTCTTTTAAGATATCCCAGGGTCCTTGAAAATGTTCTTGAGTTCCTAAGAAGGTTCCAGAGGTGCTTAAGAAAGTTCCAAAAGTCTTGAGGGGGGCAGGTTGTTCCAGGAGTGCAGGTTCTATAGTTCCTGAGAAGAGTCCAGGCTCTTACATGGGGCTGAGAGGTTCTTTGGGAGGGCCCAGGGTGCTAGACAAGAGTCCAGGGTTCCTGAGGAGGGTCCAGAGTTGACTGAGGTGGTTTAAAAAGTTTGTTTAGTTCATCAGTTGTTCGAGTGGTTCCAGGATCCATGAAGGGTGTTCAGGTGGAAGCGACAGAAACGAGGAGCTCTAAATTCAGGACTTGTGTTCTGATCTGATCACCTGATCGACTCTATCTTTTTGTTTCACTGTTCATGACGTGTTTGTCTTGTTTGAATAAACTTTATTAGAGTTGTCTCTGAACAAACTGACCTGGGTTCAGAGTTTATTCATTTAAGTTCTGTTCTTGCAACAGAAAAGACTGAAACTTGTTGTGAGTGAAACCAGCCAATTATATCAATCAAATCTCTCTTCAGCTTTAGAGTGGAAACTCTGACTGCTGTGGTCGTCATGGTAACAGCAGCTTTCAGTCTGAAGAGATGAAAGCAGTGTGGATGGTTCACAAAGCTAACACTAGACCAGTTTACGGATCCAGGAGACACCTGAGGAGTCACGGGTGACCGGTCAGTACATCACTTCCTGCTGATGAGAAACACTGACACATTGAGCAGTGAACGCACCACAGTGACCCCTTCACTGACCATCTGGAGGAACCAATGCCAGCTCCAAAAACACAAAACTAAACTTCCTCTTTCTGCTGGTACAGGAAACACACACACACACAGACACACACACAGCTGGTTGTGAAATCTGAGGTTATGTCATTGTTCAAGTTTTAAATATCAAACGTACCTGTCCTTGGCGTACCTGTCCTCAGCAGGCCTGTCCGTGTGCCCGGCGGGGGAGCTCATGATGTCACAGTGATGTCTCTGACCAGCATGTGTAAGTGTCTGGACGCCTCTGTGTGTGTGTGTGTCTCTCCGGGGGAGTTCCTACTCTGACTGAATGTGACTCGCCCTCTCTGTGTCGCTGCCTGACAGGTTCAGCTGCATTTCACAGCAGAGGCTCCCTCTTATTGGTCGACGCTCACCTGCTCTGTGCAGACAGGTGAGGCAGCAGGTCAGCTTCACTCTCACTTTATTAATATTAACAAATGAGCAGCTGAGGCTATTTAAAGCAGGAGGAAGTGCTGGGCGTCCTCAGGGTCCTGCTGTCCGTCTCTTTAACCTCTGATTATTATTTATTATAAAAGTCCAGCTGCACAAACACAAACAATTAATGTTAGAGAAACATTTTAATGCTCAGAGGAAGAATTTAAACTGAGTTTAAGATGTGCATTAATTGTAAGCACTGTCTCTCATTTGTTTTGGCTGACTTATTCATTGATTTTATCGCATGTACTCCAACACATGGCAGAGGAAGTTTTGTATGAAGCCAGTGACAAATTTCCATGTGAGTGAACAATACAGATGTCTATTAATAAAACGTCAGAAATTTGGCTTGAAATCTGTTTACTGAGGTTTTATTTGTTCAGACAAAAAAAAAAAAAAAAAAGAATTTTGACCCAAAGTAAAAATGGTAATTTTTTTCTCACAGACTTAAAAAAAACTCTTTAACTGAAGTCAAAACATTTCATGTAAGTTTCTTATAATTGATTTTTTTTTACTCTTCTTATTTTTTATGTTTTTTTTACATTTATGATAGAACAGCTGTAGAGTGACAGGAAAGGGAGGAGGGGGAGTATGGAGATGACAGCAACGGGCCAACGGCTGAAATTGAACCCAGGCCGCAGCTAACGGTTCTGCCTACATGTAGCGCACGCTCTACCTGGTGAGCTGGAGGTCGCTCCAGCATTATATATACACTGATTAAAGACTTAGGCCATATCGCCCACCCCTGCAACAACGTAAAACAATATAACGCTTTAAACCAAGGTGAACTGTTCCTTTAATTCTTTACATAAACACAATTAATCAGCAGCTACAGAAAAACACAACAGACCCTTCAGCAGGAGTCGAGGTGAGTCGAGGTGACCTCTGATCTCCTGTAACTTTACATCATCTGGAAAAAAGAAATGAATCAATAGGAAGTTCCAAACACAAAACTTTAATGATTGTCGTTCACAGATTCAACAGTTCACGTCAGCTGATTTTATCTAATACTGTTTGTGTTTTGTTGTTAAATTTGTTTTGATCAACAGTTTAAAACAGGTCTGAAAAGAGGTGATTACTGATGTCACAATGCTGCAGGTAACCAGCAGGTGGCAGTCATCTGACAGGAACTGTTGTAATGTACCTTTATGAAGGGAAACAGGTTGATACAAACACAACAGGTGTTGATGTCTGATGTGACATGATGAGGTGTTTGGGGTCAAAGGTCAGCAGGATCTGTTTAAAGGGGACCTATTGTGCTCATTTACAGGTTCATACTCATATTTTAGGCTTCTTCTCTTCTAGAAGACGATTACATGTTTAAATGTTTGAAAACACTATACTGTCCTCAAACTGTCTGTGCTGGAACACCTGCATTCACCCTCTGATTGAGACGCTCTGTTTTAGCTAGGGCTGGGTGATAAAACGATGTTGAAGCGGGATTGCAATAAAACATGTGTCAATGACGACAATAAACTATAATCAATCTGCAGTTTTTGGGATGAGCGTCATTGTACACGCCCACTTTTCACTGCAAAGTGTGTGCTGAGGTGAGGAGGAGCTGAAAGAAGCGTGGACGTCACGAAAAGAGGGGGAAAGTGGGAGTGGAAGTGAGGAGCAAGGCGGCGGTGAAGCTGAGGAAGAGCTCGCATCATCCTCAAAAATGGATGAAATTGTGGTTAAAAAAGGTTACACAACATCAATAATTTGGAAGTGGTTTGGATACAGACAATGACAGTCTGCAAAATATGTCGTGGGTTGGTGCCAACCAGGACGGAACGCACAACAAACCTTTTCCATCACCTGAAAAGGAGGCATCCCAGCGACTACACATGAAAATCCACCAAAACTGCAGTAAGTCCACCAACAAGTGTTCAAGGGCCGAGCACTTCTGCTACTGTGGGCAGCGCTAGCGGGGCTGCACCAAAACCACCATAACCCCGTAAGAGAAGTGACTGAACAAGTGCAGAGATATAACAGACATGTTGCCATATTTTCTAGCCAAACACGACCCCCATGAGCACCGTGGGAAAGACGGGTTTGAGAAATTTATTAAAGAGCTAGACTGCAGGTATGAGCTGCCAGGAGGGAAATATTTTTCTCTGCTCTGCCGCAGCTTTACAACGAGCGCCGTAGGAAGCTGGAAAATCATTTGGTTCCTTCAGGTGTGACGTTATCAGGACACTTTTCAAACTCGCAGCATTATCAAATTATATATCCTCACAAATATCGATATTGATCAATACTGGGAAAATCAGCATGATAATATTTTTTGCCGTATCACCCAGCCCTAGTTTTATTGTCTGTTTCTTAAAGCGCCCCCTCCCGAAAAAGTCTACTCTGCTTGGTCAATGTTTCTGGGTCTTCCATAGGTTAGTGTTTCTGCACCGTCATTGCAGCGAGGGAATGACTGTGATGGAGAATCGCCGCACTGTCCACGGTAATTTACAACATCAGCAACCAAGATTACATGTTTCCCTGACATTAGCATGTGGCTACATGTAGCAGTGTATGTAAAGTAAACACATATAGTAGTGTACCTGGTGCAGACGACCATATAAAGAAACCTGTCACGACCTGACGTCAGCTTGTCTTGACAGTAGAAAAAAAAAAAAAAAAACTGTTGTAAACAGAGTATTCAGAGCGGTCTGAAGCCTCAGGCTTTTGCTCACAGGAAATACTTTTATGTACGTGTAAATCATTATTTAACACTTTGGCCACGATTAATATGAACATTGAACACTGTAGCATTACAGAAATGACAGGAAATAAGGAAAAGAATAAAAGGTCCTCTTTTAAGGCTGAGAGCTGCTGTCTTGCCTGCAGGCAACAACACAGCTGAAAAAACCCACAAGCAATAAAAACTGTCATTTGAAAGAAAACTTCTTCCTCTTACCACTTCCTGTTGCTGCATCACATCCTGTCTGTTTCACAATAAAATCCCTCTGCTGGTTCAGAGCTTCTTCCCTAAAACACTTGTTGTGAAACATCAACAGGAAGTGTTTTATTAAAGTGAAATCAGCTGTTCTCGCTTAGATTTAGGGTAAAACGTGCATGAAATCAGAGGGATCACATGACCATAGACAGGTACAGGTGTGACACACATTTTTAGACCACGCCCACTGAGAATTCACTAGTAGTACCATAATAGTGTTTGACACCTGTGATGTCACCTGGCTGCAGTGATGCACAGGAGACTGTGACATCACTTTTGGGTATGGTTACACTGATATAACTCTTTAGCATGTGATCCGGGTCACATGATCAAGCCAGGTGTGGACGAGGTCACAGACTTCTCACCTGGATTGTCTCATTTTATATAAACAATAATGGGTATTAGACGAAGAATCACTTTATGCTTTGATTTGTTTTTAATCCCCGGTTGGTGTTTTTGTTCAAAAAACTTGGTGTAAAAATACTGATAACCGTAATTTGACATTTATACAAATACTGAGTCTCCAAATGACATGACAAAGCTGATTAAACTTAAAAGCACACGTAATTAAATATTCTGAGGAGAGTAAAACCAACTTTCTAAACTTTATTCAAAGACTATTTTGTCCGCTGCTCCTTGTTCATCAGGTTTCAGTCGAGCGAAGGAAAACTGATCTGCAACGGTGTCGATGACAGATTAACCGCTGAAGTTATTTTCCAAACAAAGACAAATTTAATGTGAGAATTAGCAGTTTTGCTAACATTAAACCTAAATCATGTTTTTCGTTATTTTTTATATTTAACATTTCAGTAAACTGAATCTCTGAGTTTTTGGCATTTTTCACTGTTTTCAGACAATTGTTAATAGTTATAATAATAATAATAATAATAATAATAATAATAACAATAAATAATACTGATAATGATAATAATAATAATCATAATAATTATAATAATAATTTGCTGCAGCACCATCACATCAGACATCACTTTTTACACTGAAAACACATTTAAATCAAATATTTCTGATCCAAAAAGGTTCTGTGTAAATACATGACGTCATGAATGCATTTTGCATTTTGTTTTGAAGGAAAGAGGAAGTTGTTCCAGATGTGTTCAGGTCTCTGAATGTTCCAGATGTTGGTAATGGTTTAATGAAACGGTGTGTTTGAGTCAGTCGGTAAAATCAGGCTTCAGCCCAGATGTGTTAACGTCGTCCGTGTGTTTAATCTGAGGATAAAAAAACTTCGTAATGATGTTTGTGATGTCATCTCTGTGGTACCTTGATCATCCGACAGACAGACAGACAGGCAGACGTCCTAATGATGGACAGGTAACAGGTCAGAGGTCAGAGGTCATGCTGCTGAACTTCTCCTCCAGGGCCTGTGCGCTTATGTGCGGCAGGCCGCCATCCAGAGGACAGCCCTCCACCAGACTGTTCATTGGGGTCGGAGGGACCCGAGACTCATCCTCCTCTTCCATGTCTCCCAGGCGACTGTCTCCCAGACAACCGTCTCCGTCTCGCTCCTTCAGGAAGTCCTTAATGATGGGGAGGACCTTCTTTCGAGACGCCAGCGTGTTTCCTTTAAAGAGACACAAAGAGAACATATTTAATATTTGATAATGATCTTAAGTCACCTCCTCTTGCCACATATTCTACTGTATTATATCAATATCATTATATTATACTCTATTCTTATATGATAATGTCATTCATTCATTCATTTCCGTAACTGCTTATCCTGTTGGGGGTCACGGGGGGGCTGGAGCCTATCCCAGCTGACACTGGGTGAGAGGCAGGGTACACCCTGGACAGGTCACCAGACTATCACAGGGCTGACACATAGAGACAGACAACAATTCACACTCACATACACACCTACGGACAATTTAGAGTCACCAATTAACCTGCATGTCTTTGGACTGTGGGAGGAAGCTGGAGCACCTGGAGGAAACCCACGCTGACACAGGAAGAACATGCAAACTCCACACAGAGGGGCTCCCCCAATCCGGGGTTTGAACCAAGGACTCTCTTGCTGTGAGGTGACAATACTAAACACTGCACCGTTGTGCTGCCCTGTATTCATTAGGGATGCACTGATAGTGAAAATCAGGGCTGATAGTGATACAGATGTTTAAGATAACACTGCGTCCTTTCGTCACGAAAGTGTCCCAGCAAAGATCTCTGTTTGTTCCAAACACATTTTCTATTGCCGTGGGTAACGGTATGACGTCAATATGTCAACAAGTCGAAATATTGTGAGTATCAGGATATGAATTTTTCATATCTAGTCCCCAGAATGCTTCTAGGCTGCGTACAATTTCTGAAACAGAAAAACATCGTCCACTGTCATTGATGAATGTCATCTTATTTACCGATAGGCTGGGGGCAGTAAACAAGGAGCATATCAGGCAATACTGATGTTCGGCTGATGAAGCGGTGCATCCCTAGCATGTATTATGATACATTACATAGTTATACTACAGTATTATACAGTACAGGCCAAAAGTTTGGACACACCTTCTCATACAATGCGTTTTCTTTATTTTCATGACTATTTACATTGTAGATTCTCACTGAAGGCATCAAAACTATGAATGAACACATGTGGAGTTATGTACTTAACAAAAAAAGGTGAAATAACTGAAAACATGTTTTATATTCTAGTTTCTTCAAAATAGCCACCCTTTGCTCTGATTACTGCTTTGCACACTCTTGGCATTCTCTCCATGAGCTTCAAGAGGTAGTCACCTGAAATGGTTTTCCAACAGTCTTGAAGGAGTTCCCAGAGGTGTTTAGCACTTGTTGGCCCCTTTGCCTTCACTCTGCGGTCCAGCTCACCCCAAACCATCTCGATTGGGTTCAGGTCCGGTGACTGTGGAGGCCAGGTCATCTGCCGCAGCACTCCATCACTCTCCTTCTTGGTCAAATAGCCCTTACACAGCCTGGAGGTGTGTTTGGGGTCATTGTCCTGTTGAAAAATAAATGATCGTCCAACTAAACGCAAACCGGATGGGATGGCATGTCGCTGCAGGATGCTGTGGTAGCCATGCTGGTTCAGTGTGCCTTCAATTTTGAATAAATCCCCAACAGTGTCACCAGCAAAACACCCCCACACCATCACACCTCCTCCTCCATGCTTCACAGTGGGAACCAGGCATGTGGAATCCATCCGTTCACCTTTTCTGCGTCTCACAAAGACACGGCGGTTGGAACCAAAGATCTCAAATTTGGACTCATCAGACCAAAGCACAGATTTCCACTGGTCTAATGTCCATTCCTTGTGTTTCTTGGCCCAAACAAATCTCTTCTGCTTGTTGCCTCTCCTTAGCAGTGGTTTCCTAGCAGCTATTTGACCATGAAGGCCTGATTGGCGCAGTCTCCTCTTAACAGTTGTTCTAGAGATGGGTCTGCTGCTAGAACTCTGTGTGGCATTCATCTGGTCTCTGATCTGAGCTGCTGTTAACTTGCGATTTCTGAGGCTGGTGACTCGGATGAACTTATCCTCAGAAGCAGAGGTGACTCTTGGTCTTCCTTTCCTGGGTCGGTCCTCATGTGTGCCAGTTTCGTTGTAGCGCTTGATGGTTTTTGCGACTCCACTTGGGGACACATTTAAAGTTTTTGCAATTTTCCGGACTGACTGACCTTCATTTCTTAAAGTAATGATGGCCACTCGTTTTTCTTTAGTTAGCTGATTGGTTCTTGCCATAATATGAATTTTAACAGTTGTCCAATAGGGCTGTCGGCTGTGTATTAACCTGACTTCTGCACAACACAACTGATGGTCCCAACCCCATTGATAAAGCAAGAAATTCCACTAATTAACCCTGATAAGGCACACCTGTGAAGTGGAAACCATTTCAGGTGACTACCTCTTGAAGCTCATGGAGAGAATGCCAAGAGTGTGCAAAGCAGTAATCAGAGCAAAGGGTGGCTATTTTGAAGAAACTAGAATATAAAACATGTTTTCAGTTATTTCACCTTTTTTTGTTAAGTACATAACTCCACATGTGTTCATTCATAGTTTTGATGCCTTCAGTGAGAATCTACAATGTAAATAGTCATGAAAATAAAGAAAACGCATTGAATGAGAAGGTGTGTCCAAACTTTTGGCCTGTACTGTATAATACAGTGTGTAATACTTTATACTGCAATACAATACTGTATATTATTATACTGTACTATATTCTTATATTAGTGAAGCCGAGCATGAGTTTATGAACAAAGTTTGATGTTTTCTGTTATTTCTAAATAAATGTATCACAGAGGCAGAAAATCGTCGAACAGAGAAGCTGATTGGCTGCAGTGAGCTCTCTCAGGTTAAGCTTTAGAAGTGGGGGTGTTTACCTTGCTTATAGGCTTTGACGTGCGAATGGGGGCTGCTGAATGGACAGAGGTTCAGGGCGGGGTTACGGGCCTGTTCCAGGTAGAGGCTCGCCTGTGGAGGGAGGACTCATATTAAACAGAATCAGTGACTGAGAACTAAACGTAAACGACTTCTGTAAGTGTTTGTGGAGGAGGCAACAGTACTGCAGTATTTAATTACAGTGTGTTTGTGAGTACTTGTAGTGTGTACCTGTTGCCTGCAGGCGGCGCTGTGGCTAAACACAGCGAGCTCTCTCATTGGCTCTTTGCTCTCAGTGAAGGAGATGGTCATCAGCAGCAGGAGGTCATATCCAAACTTCAAACAGAAATCTGAAAGCTCTGCCTCCAGCTCCGCCCCCTGCAGGAAGTCCTGCCACATGTTCGCGCGCACACGCACACACACACACACACACACACACACACACACACACACACAATATACTAACTGTAGTACTGCATGGTCCGGCGCAGTATGCAGTAGAGTGTGTATTACAGACTGACCTGCAGTGTGATGTAGAGAACAGAGACAGCGACATTCAAACTTCCTGAAACAGCTTTCATGTCCTTCAACAACATCTGTTCAGTGTTCAGACCTGAGAACAAAATACGTTAAATAACACTATGAACATTAAAATATTGTGATAGATGACTGTACACATTTGGCCCTCTGTGCTTCCATCATGTGCTGCAGTAATTAATTCTAACAGTTTTCTGACTGACCTGACACGTCAAACTTGGCGTCCTGCAGCGTCTGAAATAGAGTGCCCCTCGGCGGCAGAGCGGGAAAACGAGCCTCCAACGCTGCAGCGATCTGACTGTCTTTAGGCGTCACTTTACCTGCTGCGGGCGCCATGTTGACACAGTCCAACACCACTGCCGCTACACACAGTAATACACATTAAAACACACATTAATACACATTAACATACAGTAAAACATAAAGTAATACATATTAGACGTGTTCAGGTTTCGTGAGGACCTGATCAGGTGCCGTGAGGACCTGTTGAGGTGTTGTGAGGATCTGATCAGGTGCCGTGGGGTTGTGAGGACCTGTTCAGGTGTCGTGAGGACCTAATCAGGTGTTGTGAGGACCTGATCAGGTGTTGTGAGGACCTGAGGACCTGTTCAAGTGTTGTGAGGACCTGTTGAGGTGTTGTGAGGACCTGTTGAGGTGTTGTGCAGACCTGATCAGGTGTTGTGAGGACCTAATCAGGTGTTGTGAGGACCTGATCAGGTGTTGTGAGGGCCTGTTCAGGTGTTGTGAGGGCCTGTTCAGGTGTTGTGAGGGCCTGAGGACCTGTTCAAGTGTTGTGAGGACCTGAGGACCTGTTCAGGTGTCATGAGGACCTGTTCAGATGTCGTGTCGTGAGGACCTGTTCAGGTGTCATGAGGACCTGTTCAGATGTCGTGTCGTGAGGACCTGTTCAGGTGTCATGAGGACCTGTTCAGGTATCGTGAGGACCTGTTCAGGTGTTTACCGTAGAGCAGTTGAGCAATCTGTTGGTCCAGGATCTCTGGAGCTTTCTGGATGATGCGTTCTGTTACCAAGGTTGTGCAGGATCCCACCATCTCCACGGTAACAAGACAGGAGGTGGACGGCTCTCTTTCCTGCTGGTGATGGTCGATCACCTCCACCACTGCCCCCTCCAGGTCGCTGTCTGAACTACAGGACGGACACAGGATGATGAGACAGGTGTGTTCACACGCTTCAGGAACCAGACTGTTTGTGGCATGTTGTCTGGCAGGTGTTCAGATCAACGTGCTACCTGTCCATTGACCTGTACAGGAGCTCTTGACTACCTGAGCAGCCTTTGTGGCCACCTGTCAGGTGTCACCTGTAAGGTGGGTGTGGTTACCTGGGCAGGACATTGTGGTCGACCAGCGTCAGCTGCAGGCGGCCGGCTCGGTGAAGCGCTTTAAGGTCCAGCTGGTCTCTGAACAGCAGGAGGTCTGGAGACAGAACGACCTGTCGCAGCAGGAAGACATTATCTGAACGCAGCACGAGGTCTGACTGACGGATGTTCAGCAGCGGGAGAACGAGCATCTCACTGTGTACAGTCTGAGACAGAGACAGAGGCTCAGGTAAACATCAGCTCTGAGGAAAAACACCTGTACTGACCGTTCAATGACTCACCTTGGACAGGAAGTAGGCGTAGGTCAGGGCACACACCATAGAGTCCACGTCACAGGCTTCATTCCCCAGAACCACGTGAAACGCTGAACCAGCCTGATCAAGGTTCCCCTGAATTTTATTTTTAAAAACATCGAATCATAAAACAGGAACTGAAGTTCTGAGAGACAGAAGCTCATCAGGGGGCTAATAATGATATAAAACATAACTTAAAACAAACCCAATTTCCAACTAATCATCTACGGAAATTAATATCTACTAAATCTGCAACTATTTTGATAATCAATTAATAATTCATGTAATTTTTTAAGAAAAAATGCCAAATGTGATATTTCCAGGTTGTCAAATGTGAGGATTTCCTGCTTTTCTGGGTCTTATTTCATAGTAGATTTAACAATTTGGGGGTTCGGAAATGTTGGTTGGACAAAACAAGACATCTGATGAAGTCACTTTAGGCTCTAGGACGAGGGCGTCAAACACACTGGCCCACCAAAGGATCCAGTCCGGCCCACTGGATGACTTTGCACACCTGATAATGACACACTTGTGAAGGTTAAGCGGTGTCAGGTTTCAGGAGCAAGTTAAACACAGAGTGCTTTCAAAAATATCTAAAATTAGCAACACTTACATCCATTAATTTAAGGGCATGACAAAGAAGGTGGTGACAGAGACATGTGTCTGTTTTCCTTGAGAGGCCACTATGTTTGAATAGTTTTATTGTTGATTTTTGTATTATATGTTGTATTTGTTGCATTTTTAATATGTTCTGATTGGCTGCTACCTCGGTCAGGTCTGTCTTGTAATGGGACTCAATGGGACTTTCTGGTTAAATAATGGTTAAATAAATAAAGATAATAAAATGCTGCTTCAAAGGCTTTTAACTCAACCAAAATACGGTTCTTGGAAAAAACTTATTGTGGTCATATTTAGATATTGAATACTGTGCAAAATACTGTCAGTCAGCAGCTTCATTACAAAATAATCTGTATCAGACTATCTTAAAACACGATTGTTGGGACTCTATTGCTAAGACACTGCCAAAAGTTTTGATGTGTAAATCATTTGTAAAGCAGGGGAAAACTTAACCTGCTTCCTCAATAGTTTCCAGTTTAGTCTGGTGTGGTGACGCCAGCGTTACCACACAGGAGTGGAAATAAATGTAAAAATGTACATGTCATGACAGTGAGTAGTGGACTGACTGAATGTGGAAAAACCTGAGACATGTTCTTGAAACTAAACTTATGTTTCTTAAGATATCTCAGCTGGTTAATCATCTGTTTTGCAAACAGATGAATGTTTTCAGAATGTGCTTCTTCACACTAAATTTCATGTTGGGCTGTATGTGGCCTGTGAACTGAGTTTGACACCTCTGCTTTAAGATATTGTCACAGGTTTTTCCTACAGTGCACTGATGTGTGGTAGACCAAATGCTTAAATAAACTACAGATTAATCAGTAACCAACATCATCACTAGCTGCAGGCCCCCAGACAGAAATGTTATAAAGTAAGTGTTTTAACTCCACAGTTCCTGTTAACTGCCATTTCTTCATGACATTACAAACTGAGGAAACAGCTCCCTGAAAACACTTTGCTGCCTTCTTATAGTCTTCTCCTGCTTTGTGGAAATCAGTTAATTTAGTTTTCAGAGTGTTAGGCAGCTGTTTAGAGGAGCCCATGGCTGCTGGTTGTTGGGACAAGGTTTCAGGAGTCAGAGTATTTATAAAGCTTTGAAATTTGTGTCACCTGGCCTTTCCTAACGATGACTGTGAACAAGCCAGAGCCCTAACGAGCTAATTAAGGTCTGAGACCCTGGGAAAAGTTGTCTGAGCGCTCAAACGTCTTGAGATGCTCAAACTTTTACATGGTGCGCCTTTACTTTTTTTCCATTCTAGAAATTGTACACAACAGAAATAATACCCTAATCCTGCTTAAAATTAAAAGCATTTCATCTTAAGCTTCATGCCCTTTGAAGATCAGTTCATCTTGTACATACTGTGCAGATCTTCTACTTAAGTATTCACAGTAAAAGAAAATTTGACCAGGGGTGCCCAAACGTTTGCATACTACCATTATCTATTCAATTTTATACCTACTTGTTAATGTTTTGTTATAATAATAAATGTAATAAAAAAATGCGTGTTGTTCTCTGACCGTAAGTTTATAATAATAATAATAATAATAATAATAATAATTGTATTATCGTTATCATTATTATCATGATAATAATAATAATAATAATAATAATAATAATAATAATAATAATTTAAACTTCCGGTCACAAAACACGCAATTTTTTTTTCAAATTTAAGCCCACAAGAGAAAACGATAATAATAATAATAATAATAATAATAATAATAATAATAATAATAATGACTTTTATCATTTTCCTCTCAAATGAATTTGAAAATGTTTGAAATTTATATTAAAAAAAAATGCTTATTGTTCTCAGATCAGAAGTTTATTCTGAAAGGGTGTGAACATGTCAGGCTAACTGAGGCTAATGCTAACTGACAAAAACAGTATTGAGCTAAGTGTGTGTGTGTGTGTGTGTGTGTGTGCATATCTGTATATGCGAGTTGCTGTGTGTGTGTGTGTGTGTGTGTGTGTGTGTTCGTGTGTTACCTTCACGGCTCGGCGGCAGCTCGACAGAAACTCCTCCATCTTCTGTTAGCTGCTAGCTGCTAGCTGCGACCGTTAGTTAACCCGCTAGCTGCTCCTCTGACCGGTTAACGGATTCAGTAAACGGTGACAGCCGGCTCACCGAGTAGCGGGCTGTTAGTAACACACACACGTTACCGTTAACTGTAAACGCATGACTGTCGGGATGACCGTCGTTAACGTGTTGGGTAAAAGGTCAGGAGGCCTTCAGGGTGCAGTGGAAACGTAGGAAATACAAGCTGTCTCTGTTAGTGACTGTGTAGCGAATATTCAACTGATCCAGAAACAGTTTTCTGTTTGTAGATGAAGAGAGGACAGCGTGCAGGATGAAAAGAGATGCTCCGTTAATTCATTCATAAGAAAAAATAAACACAAAATGAAGCGTATTCACTGAAAAACACGTTAAATATGTCATACACCACCAAAACATCCACTGCTACCTTTATAGATTATATATTATTCAGGTTCTAAAGTAAATGTTTCTGTCATTTTCAATATAAATCCTACACACAGCTGTATCTACAGAAAACATGTATAAATGCACATACTGTAGTGTACATAATAATCCCCTACATGTATATCCATTCAGTATTCTTTGCACCATTTGCTTTTTTTTTTTTTTAATCGTTAATTTTATTTTATTTATTTGTTTATTTATCAGGGACAATGCATATTAATGAACAGTGAACTGTAAATATACCGGGATTAGCCAAAAGGCTAGTTTTCATCCGCAGTCCCTGGCAAGATCTGAGTTGGCAGCCTAAGTAATAAAAAAGTTAGAACAAGTTTAAAACAATATCATTGCATGCAGTTTAAGCAAAAAATATAGTAACAGGTAAACATAGCAACACAAACATAAAAGCAGAGCAAGCCAAGACTCTACAAATAACAATTACAAAGCAGCCTAATTCACAAGAAACAAACATAGACTGCAACAAACAACAGCAAGACAGTAACAATTACAGAGCAGCCTAATTCACAAAAAACAAACATAGACTGTGACAAACAACAGCAAGACAGACATAAGTAAAAGAATATGGCAGGCAGGCAGTTGTTAAAGAGCAGACAGAGGCAGCAGTTGAGTATTAATGTGTACAGGTCTGATTATTGATGAGCCATGATTTCAACTGTTTTGTGAACAAATGGTATGAACTGAGTTCTCTGATGTGTACTGGTACTGTATTCCAGTCCTGCAATGCCTTAACTGAAAATGCTGAGTGGCTAAAGGCACTTTTCGTAATGGGTATGACACAGTCTCCTCGGATTGCACCTCTCATTGCCCGGTTATTGCTTGACCTCTGTGTGATGAAAGTTTGAAGTGGAGGGGGAGCAGTGTTATGTATGATCTTGAAAAGAAAACAAAGGTTTGTGTACTTGATTAAATTGTCCCAGCTCAAAAGTTTGTACTTTGTTAAGATAAGGCAGTGGTGGTAGTTATTTGATCTGTGATCCAAAACTTTGAGCGTTTGTTTGTACAGTGCTTCGAGAGGTTTTAGTGTTGTTGTTGGCATAAATCACTGCATCATCAGCATATAGCTGGGTCTCCACGTCAGAGCACACAGAGGGCAAGTCATTTATATAGAGACTGAACAGAAGTGGTCCTAGTACAGACCCTTGTGGGACACCAGTGAAAGTCTTAAGAGCGGCCGATTGGTAGTTGTGGACCTTTACACACTGGGTTCTGTTATGTAGATATGATTCTGTCCACTTGAGGGCGTTATGGGTAAAGTTAAATGTACAGAGTTTGGCTATGAGCAAATCATTGGTGTTTTTAATTTATATTTATATAAACACAAATTTCTTCGCATACCTGTATACATAATACATTGTTGTCCTTGTTTTTAGCTGTTACATCTCTTTCTTTTTGTGTAATCAATTGTTTATTGTTTAAAGGCAGTGTTGCAGTCACAGATGTGGAATAATACGAGACAAAATCTGACATTTCTCTGCCCCCCTCATTTCCCTTGTTCCCTTTCCCCTGATCACTTAAACCCTGACAAGGAAAGACCATAGTGCCGGAGCTGCAAATACTAGTAGCTTAGTGAAGTTAGGCAGATGATCACATCATTAAAATTAATTGCAGCCCTACGCGAACATGTATATGGACTTAGAGCAAGCACAAACCAAAAACACGCAGAAAAGAGAGAAAGGAAAAAACCCAAAAACGGTAAATCCTGAGTTAAATTCCTTGTAAATGTAGATATACACAGTCAACGAAGCTGATTCTGAACATTAAACTACATTAACGTGTGCTGTAAAATATGATGGTGTACCAGGACAACCACAGAGAAAAAAACAAATATATAAAATAAAGTCAAATATTTATGAGTAAAGTCGCAATTTTGTAAAACAAAGTAAAACTGTAAAGAAAGTTGTAATTTAATATAACAATATATTACTGCGGGATTAAAGTCGGGACTTTACAAGATGTTTATATCAATATTTGGTTGGAGGGAGCAGGAAAAATCGTGTCAGATTACTTGTCAACACATTTTTTCTCATGCAACCATTTGTCATAATATCATACCAGGTATTTTTTCTCAAAATGTTATGACTTCACGTGTTTAGGGCAAACAAATCCATTATTCAAAAACAAAGAGACATTGCAGGCTGTATAAATCCAGACCACATGCTTAAATTGTGAAAAATGCCACAATTCCTTTAGTGTTTGAAAGCAGCACGACCCTCTAAAGGAACTGTGGGTAATGTAGTTTCTCCTACTCCTGCCCCTTAGCCCATCCTGTGTGTGTGAATGTGTGTGTGAGGGAGTGGTGAGCGATTACCACCAGCTGGTCATTTTAGATAAAACACAATTGTTAGTAACGATTAAGAAGTGCACAGTTTAATAAACAGGTCTCAGTTTTAGAAATGTCTTTTATTTATATTTTTTCAAGGAGTTGGTTCATAAAATGTCTGAAAATAGGTAAACAGGTACTCGAAGTATTCAGGTACTGAGACAGGTTTGTACTGAAATGTCAGTTTATTGGCTGTTCCAGGTTCAGCTGGATGATCCTCTGCGCTAAAACAACATTACAGTTAATTTCTATAAAACATAAAACACACAGACTCTGACGTGTTAATTATCTGTGAGGCTGATAAGTATAGAACATTATTTAATTCTAATCATCATTCATTTATTTAACTTTTTTTTTCTATCTAATGTTTATTCTATCTTTGGATCAGAGAAATAAAACCTGCAGATTCATCGGCAGCGACGTTCAGTCACATTTTACATGTTCAGAAGAATAAAAGATTTATTATATATTTTTTATTTAATATTTTAAAGTGACGTTTTCTTTCTGCTCATCTTCTCATTTCTTTCCTTGTTAGAACATATTTGCTAATGTTTTCAGTATGGTGTTTGTTCTGTCAACACTTTCATATTATGGCTGTAGTAAACACTGGAGATTACAGAGGGCGCTGCCACAACTCTATACTGATATTCCTATTGGGTTTCCATGGTAACACTGATGTAAAATTTGATCGGTCTGCTGCTTGAAAACCGTCAGAGACTGAAGTGGGGACATTTAATCGGACAATACTCAGCTTTACGGGCACTTTTAACCTGACTATACACAGCGCAATGGGGACGTTTGACCTGACTGTACACAATGTTACAGGGACACTTTCAGTCCAGCAGTCAGCAGGTGGTGGCACCAGACCCTGACCTCTGACCTCTGGATGACTGACAGCTGTCGTCATGCTGACTGAAACATATGTGCGTTTGTTTATGAATTAACTTGTTATATTCAATAATCAGCTTCCTGTTTCCTGTCAGCTGATGCGTTGAAAGTTCTGGTGACCTCTGACCCCAGCTGCAGCAGCAGGTCGGTGACCTCTGACCTCCCTGGAGAGGAGGTCTAGATTTTCTCCACGTAGTTACCAGGGAACATCCCCTCTCTGCCCCGCAAGCGACCAAACCACCAACCTGAGGGATCTGCAGAGAGTACAGAGACAGAGGACGTGTCAGGACTACAGGACACCAGAAGAGCTCTGATTGGTCCGTTTGATCAGCTTAGCAGGTACGAGTCAGTAAGTTACCTGCACAGTCACTTTATTCTACACATCAGTTGGTTTTGGTCTCCGTTTGAAACATGCAGCTACTATCTGGCTAGTACATGCAACTGATGTGAGATCATTTCTTGAATGACAGACACACAACTTTGTTTGTATTATAACACCAGACAGACGCACTATAGCCCCGTTTCCACCAAACACTTTCAGTATGGTCCCTGTGGAACCAACAGTAACCCTTCAGACATGGTACCTAGACCCTAGTGTTTCCACCACAAACAGTACTCTTAAATGTGGGCGGGGTTGTTGTCACTCCCTGCTCCGTCCAGCACTCACTGTATTTCCTCCTTTATCAGTCTGCACCTCATTTATCGTCCACAGAACGAGGCTGCACGCCGATATTTTCAGAACAAAGTAAAACAGGCTGCAGTGAGAGTCTCTCTCCATGGGATATTTAAAAATAGCAGTTTTGTGCATTTGGTCCTTCTCAGGCAAGCTCAGGGGTTTAGTGTTGCTGTAGCCCACAAGAACGACACTCTGCGATGCTTTTCTTTTCTCTGAGTGAGGATTAGAATATGCAGTTCACATAACCCGGCCGAAATTAATATATATAAATGCTTGAAGATCCACTCATTAATAAAAGTGTGTGTCATATAAAAACTAAAGTGATGGTCAAAGTTGTCACAGTGAACTTTAAGGTGTGCTGATGGATTCATGTTGTCACCTGATGCATTGAGCAAAGTTAACATTCCACCTTAAAAGTCACCGGCAGTTGGCCCAGTGAATGAAGTTATTTTTTCTCTGACTCCAGCAGCTGTGAGAGGCAGCAAAACATCCTTTCATTTTATAGTTACAGTTTACTAATAAAACTCTCCACAGTATGAACAGTGGTTACATGAGCCTCAAAACCAGACACAACTCAGCCCTGAGCAGAGTGACCGTCCTCTACTGACCAATCAGACTGCAGTGTTCACAGCTCCACCTTTTAATACCAAATCTGTGTGATAGGTACCCCAACAGAGGAGGGACCAAACATGGGGAAGGTACAGAACAGTTCCATTGGTACCATCCACAACTTTTTCCAGTGGAAATGTAAAAAAAAGCGTATCGAACTGAACTGAACCATACTGTACTGCTCAGTGGAAACGGGGCTATAGTAGTA